AAAAAAAAAGAATTAAAAAAAAAAAATGCCTGACACGTTGGGCCAGCCAGTGAATGGCAGCTAAATCCCACATGGCCAACTGCATGGTTCCAGTCCTGGATATGGTGGACATACATGTGCGCCCCAAATCCTGAGAGGATTCTAGAGGACAAGGGATTGTGCCATGGCCATCCCCCCCTCCAGAGGGTGATTTCTCACTTTCTCTCTCTCTCCAGTGAGTGCATGCACCCTATAGCAAACTAAAACATCAAAAACGAAATGCCTGGGACTTAGATGGCTGTACTCACTTGTATGGCTCACTGGAATAGTAGGACTGGAAACAGTGATTTTGTGTCATGAGTTATAGGGAGCTTTTAGCTTTTCAGTCATCTCCTTTCTAATTGCCACTATCCTCACAAGAGTCCTATAAGCAGGTAAGAAATGCTTTGGACTGTCTCTTGATCTGTGAAGAAATAACAATAACGAGAGAATAAATCTGAGCATTTTTCTGTGTACATGATATTACTAGGGGCTTGGGACAGAGCAGAGGGCCAAAGTCCCTGCCCTCGTGGACCTATGATCTGGTGGTTGAAGAAAGGCAATAGGATAGATAAGTAGACTCCCGGATCTTTGGTAGAGATAAGTGCAAAGGGAAAAAATGAATGAGAGAAGGGGAGAGGGTTCAATTTTAGATGGCCAGGGAAGGCCTCAATGAGCAGGTGGTATTTTAACCTGAAGAGGTAAAACAGTGAGCCATGAGAATATAGCTTAGGGGGAGCGGTTCTAGGAAGAGGGGACAGCAAGTACAGTGGCCCTAAGGTAGGACAGGAACATGCCTGGCACTTGAGGAAGAGCAAGGAGGCAAGTGTGGCTGAGTGAGGAAGGTGAAAGGGGAGAAGGTAGTGAGTGATGGGGTCTGAAGCACAAGTTGGAAGGAGGGCAAGGGGACTCAGACCTCATCAGACCTTGTGGGCCATTGTCAGGACTCACTCTCTTGCCTTTTAGTGTGTTGTTCAGGATACACCTGATGACACCAACGCACAAGTAACAAAAGGAAAACAATATATTTTTTAAATTTCCTGTTTGCTCTGTGTCCCATTCCAGTCTGATTCAGCAGCCCTGAGCATAGCAGGCAGGAGAGACCTTCGCCCAACCCCAAATGTAGAGAGACATACTCCAGAGCTTGAAGGCCTCAGAGTAACTTGTACCGTTCATCCTCACTGAGCTCTGGGTTCCCCTTCCGATGGGAACGGTGTGTGGTGTCCCCTGGAGCACAACAGGGCATGGAGCCAGAAGTCCTGATGTTTCCTCCTTCCCACCTGACCAGGGTGTCCCAGGGCCTAGGACCCCGCCCCAAGGGCTGTAGACTTTGAATGACTGGCCAAGAGTGCACAAATTCACCTCTATGAATTGTAATCGGCTTCTGTTCCATAGAAACACAGTGATAAGGGATTCCAAGCCATTCTTCCTCATCCACTTTGATGCCCAAGGCCTTCTCCCAGAGCTGCCAGGGTAACCCACACAAAGGGATCAGAGCCAGACACAAGCATGAAAAAAAGGTGTTCACAGCTGGTACCTTCTACCATGTAGATAATACATTCCAAAGCTAATCCCCGATTTTTTCTCTTTTCCCTTTAGTTTTGCTAGAGGGCACATCACTTACCAGAGAGAGAGAGAGAGAGAAATCCCTCCCCAGAGAATGGTCACACCTCAGTCCTCTCTCCTTCATTAATCCGTCATCTCAGGATTTGGGGCACCCACAACCATATGCCTGGCCTGTTTCTCAAGCTGTCAGGTCTAGGACTCAAACCACAGGGTTGGCCATGTGTGAGCCAGCTGCTTTAACCATCACACCACAGGCTGTCCCAATATGAGCGTTCTAAAGTTAGTGATGAACTATTGGGGAGGAGCATCGCCCTCTGTCGGCTACTAGGCCCCCATTAATTGCATCTTTTTTTTTTTGGAGAGGTTTTTGCTATAGGGCGCGTGCGCTCGCCAGACAGACAGAGACATAGAGACAGAAAGCGAGAAATCACCCCCCAGGGGGGATGGCCATGCCGCAATCCCTTCTCCTCCATTCTCCTCTCGGGATCTTGGGCATGCACGCACCGGGCGTGAGTTTTAAGCCACCGGGTCCGGGACGTGAACCGCGGTCGACTACATGGGAATCCAGCGACATAGCCATTACGCTAACTGCTGGTTCCCATTTATTGCATCTTAATGGACAAGTTGCTCACCTAGGAAAATCAGGTTTTCCAAAGGTCAATGTAAGGGTAGGGTGATACAAACAGGGAAATCAGCTTGTGCTTTTCACCTTCAAGGCCTAAGCCACCTTGATTTGGGGACCCAGATGGAAACAATGTTTACTTACTCTAGTCACATTTACATCATCTCCTAGGTTTTCTGGACTTCACTATTTATTTATTTATTATTGCCAAAGGGCACATGTGCTTGCCAGAAAGAGCGAGAGCACACACTACCTTCCCAGCAGGGCTCAGTCATGCCTCAAAATCCCTTCCTCCATTTCCCCATCCTATCAGAACCCCAGATACATACAAGTACACACCTAGCGTGTTTTTCAAGCCACTGGCACCAGGACTCCAACTGCAGTCAGCCACGTGCAGTCTGGCCCCCCATGCACAGCACTCAGCCACTGCACTGGAGGGCTGGCCGTCAACTTCAGCATTTTGATCAAAGAGCCTTTCTATTGTTCTTCCCCCTGGTATACCCAATTCCGGTGATCAACTCACTTACCAAAACAAATGCTGCAATTTGTCTACGGCCCCTCTCCACTGTGAATTCACCATGTGTGATCCACTGGATGTTTTTGATGGGGTTTCTAGAAAAAAAAAAAAAAAAAAAAAAAAAGTCCTGTATTTGTTAGTTGCCTACTAGTGTGGTATTACCTAACAAGACAGTTCTTAAGGCACCCACGCAAGAATTTTACCTTCTACAGTCTTAACAGCTGTCGTGACTGTGTCCTCAGCCAGAGCTAGAGCCACTTCATCCACGGTGCTGTTTTCATCTATGCTCATTATCTTCAGGCTTTTAAAATAGTTTTCCATTTCTATTCTCCTCTGACTTTTGAAAATGTTAGTCTTATCCATTTTCTTTTGCCTGAAAGATGAAACTCAGGAAGTTATTCTTTTTTTTTTAAGGAATTATTTTATTTAACTTTATTTACTTATTTAAATTAGAACAGAGAGGGACACAGTGAGAGAGAGAGGGAAGCTGGCAAGCTGCCAGGTCTGGACTTGAACCGCAGTCGGCCATGTGGGAGTCCAGCACCTTTAACCACCTTTAACCACCATGCCACCTGCCGGCCCTGAGGTATTATTCATTGTGCATGTGTACACACATGTGAGCACAGTACACATGTACTACAAGTACTACAAGTATAGATTACCTCTTTTTTTTTTTAAGAGGTTTTTGCTATAGGGCACATGTGCTCGTCAGACAGAAAGCGAGAAATCACCCCCCAGGGGGATGGCCATGCCGCAATCCCTTCTCCTCCACTCTCCTCGTGGGATCTTGGGCACGCACGCACACACACCCAGCATGAGTTTAAGCCACCAGGTCTGGGACATGAACCATGGTCGACTACATGGATGTCCAGCGACATAGCCATTACGCTAACTGCTGGTCCCTACAAGTAAAGACTACCTCTTGACAAAACACAGGAAACAGCTGCTGCCACTAGGAAGGAGACTGGGGTTTAGGAGGAAGAATGAGACCTGGCAGTTGAGGGGCGCTTTCCCTAAAAACCAAGGATTTTCATATTCTCAAAACCATGAAAATATCCATCAAAATAGAGTAGAATGAGTCCTAACTTTTTGGAGTTCTAACAATACTGATTTCCGGTTGAGCCTTTAACAGAGCCCTGATCCCTGCTTTGAGCAGCTAAGAGCTCATGGCTCTTTAAAGCTAGTCAAATGAAGTGATTAGAGGCAACACAGCAGTAGAAGGGTTGGTTCATCTGGACTTTTTCCTCTTGGGTTTTCCAAGGGTTTATTTATATAATCTCCAAGACGTTATCGTTTTTGCCATCTCTGTTCCTAAAATATGTGTCTTCTGAGGTATAGGCATACCTTGGAGATGCTGCAGGTTCAGTTCCAGATCATTAAAATAAAATGAATATCACAATAAAGGGAGTCACATGAACTTTTTGGTTTCCCAGTGCATGTGTTATGTGCACACTGTACTGCAGTGTACAACAAATAACATGTATAAAAAATGTACATCACTTAAAAATAGTTTCTTGCTCAAAATTGCTAACAATCATTGGGGCCTTCAAAAAGTCATAATCTTTTCTGCCAGTAGAGGGTCTTGCCTCCATAATGATGGCTGATGACTGATCAGGGTGGTGGTGGTGGTTGAAGCTTGAAGGTTTTCTTTTCTTTTTATTTTTTTATTTATTTATTTATTTTTTTTGGTAGAGGCTTTTGCCTTTGGGTGCCTGTGTGTGCCAGAAAGAGATAGAGAGACAGAGACAGTGAGGAATAAAGTGAGAAATCAACCCCCGGGGTGTGGGGGTGGGAGGGCCTGGCCTCACTGCGATCCCTTCTCCTCCATTCTTCTCCCAGGATTCTGGGCACATATAAATGCACCCAGCATGAGTTCCAAGCCACTAGGTCTGGGACTTGAACTATAGTTGGCCATGTGGGAGTCCCGTGATGTGATCAATACACCATCTGCTGGCCCAGTTTCTTAAAATAAGACAGTGAAGTTTGCCCCACCGATTATCTCTTCCTTTCATAAATAATTTCTCTGTAGCTTGTGATGCTGTTTGATTGCATCTCACCCACAGTAGAACTTTCAAAACTGGTGTCAGTCTTCTCAGACTCTGCTGCTGCTTTATCAACTAAGTTTATGTAACATTCTAAATCTTTTGTTGACATTAAAATGATGTTCACACATTCTTGAGATGGAGTATATTCCATCTCAAGAAACCACTTTCAGGTAGACTCTGTGGCCTGGTGGTTAAGGCAGCTGGATCCCCGATGGCTGATCTCGTGATTCGAGTATTGGACTCAACAGCTTGAGAAACACACTGTGTGTGTGTGTGTGTGTGTGTATGTGTGTGTGTGTCTATCTGTGCATGCCCAAAATTCTGAAAAGATTAAGAAAATGAAGAAAGGATTGCAGCCTAACTATGCTGCATGGAGGGGTTCTTTCTCCTTCTCCCTGTCTCAGGTGAAGGCACACTTTCTCTAAGCAAACATTTTTGAGACAGGTTTTTGCTATGGGGCATGTGTACTCACTGGAGAGACAAAGACAGAAAGTGAGAAATCACCCCTCAGGAGAGATGGCCATGCTGCAATCCCTTCTCCATTCTCCTTTTGGGATTTGGGGCACGCACACATGCACACGTGCCCAGCATGAGTTTTAAGCCACCAGGTCGAGGATTCAAACCACCATTGACTATGTGGGAGTCAAGAAACATAACCTGAGACCAGCAGTTAGTATAATGTCTATGTCGCTGGACTCCCACGTAGTCGATCGTGGTTCACGTCCCGAACCTGGTGGCTCTGTCTCTCTCTGTCTGGCGAGCACACATGCCCTATAGCAAAAACCTCTCCAAAAAAAAAAAGAAAC